TGAACTTTTCGAAATGTGTGCGTTTAGTGGGCAATGGCCCTCCCTAACATCAGAAACCAATCCCATGTCGATATCTGCGCTCGTTTGGGCACAGGAGTCAGAAGAAACGAAACTACCCCGAAACGTGAGAATCGCTCAGGTGCATCATGGTCTACATGGGGTTGAAGTGGATTTCGGCAACAGCTAGCAGGTCATGTAGGGGTATTTTTGGAATCAGGGCGACGAGAAAAAAACCAACGGTGCCAGTTTCAAGTGAATCGGAGAAGTTTGGACCCGGGTTCAAATCCCAGTGGGGTATATTTTCAACATTCTTTTTACTCGAGTTTTTGCATTGTTTCTGATGTTTTTGAGGGTGCTGACGGAACTGCGTGGTTGTTGAACCGAACTACCTGAGTGTTAACTCCCGACTCCCGAACGGCGGCGAAACTACGTGTTTGTTGGTCTCGGTGCACAAACTATGTGAGTGTTGAAACCGGAAATCAAACTACGTGTTTGTAATTAAGAGGTATCGAGTTCTCCGCATCTAGTATCAGGGTTCAAAACCTGATTTCACGATCGAAAGGAAGTCACGTTTGTCCCCGGCGCAACAGTACGGTTTACCTTAGTTCTCGGCCTCGGTCCCATGGGCAATGTTGGGGAGGAGATGCTGATGTGTGCTGATGTAGATGTGCGGTGAGGTGGGCTCTCTTGCCTGCTGCTCTGCCTGCACCATATTGTCCGCGCTGCTTGCAGGGATATAACTAACGTAAGCTGGAGTATAACTTGCGATACTCTTGAGGGAACCCGAGAGACCAAAAACCGAGCTCAGAAGGCTATACTTCAAAAATACAATTCCTGTTTCTTGTTGATATTATTGCGAGACACGCAGTTCAACAGGAAAAAGAAATCAGATAAAATTTGAGTTACAAAAGGATCACGAGTCTCATGTTACCCTTCTGTCTAAGGCCGTGCACTTTCAAACAAAGTATAAAGTTATTCTCCGCCCTTGTAAATACAGAGTTAGTAAGCAGTCTCCACACCCCACGTTTGCCACGTGGCAGCAGACACGGCTTCTCTGAGACACTCCTCGTGTGAAGCGTGCAAACTGCACCTGCAAGTGCGACGACTGCATATTCAACACCTCCGCATTTCATGTGTTGAGACCTCCTGACCAGGGATGATACCCAAACCGAAAATATACGAGGGCCGTTACGACAACAGTTTGCACACTGAAACTCAAAAAGTGTAGCACCGGGAACCAAGGGAACAGCTTTTCCTTGTTGATCAAGGCGTACCGGAGTTTTGATCCCATATCGGTCAAGTCCCAATTCCGCTTCCCTGAGTTTTGTTGATTTAGGCCCCAAATAGAACAAAACTCAGCACTGTTAAGAGAAGTCGTTATTTTACAACAATAATCCCAACAATTAGTGTTGTAATTTTACAAACTAAAATTAGTAAAATAACTACAAGATTCATGAAATGAACAATTGTCATATTTTCGAGAAACTTTACTCATAAATTTAGGAATAAATTCGTAATTTTACAGTGAAATCTTAATGTTACTGACGAAAGATCGTAGTTTTACTGATAAAATCGTTATCTTACGACTATTCTCATTTATTCACGCGAAACTTGTTTTGTTACAAATCATGCTTCCTTTTTATGAATAGTTGCCTGTTGAATCTGTACCACAAACTGCACTGTTTTTTTTTAAAGTATATTGTAAATTGACAAATTGCTCATCATTTCACAAACTGCTTCTTAAATTTACAGGTGAAATCGTTAATTTACAAGTATGATTGTAAAAGCAAGTCTGAAAAAATGCGTTTCCGTCCGTTGTTTCCTTACTATATAGGAAGAAATGATGCCTGAAACGACCAAAATTTGAGGATTAAGTTTGTAAGTTTAAGGGGGGACATCACTCCAAAAACAGTGCTTTTGTAAACACGTCATAAAAACCAAACGGAAAGAGGAGAATTGTTCATATTTTAACAGATAAAGCATAAAACAACACTATGTCAATCCGCCAGGGCAGTACAGCGCTTTCGTTCAAAACACATTTTTGAGTGTTAGGTTAGACCATTTCGCACGGTTGCAGCGCTGGACGCCAAACGGTTTGACCTAGAACATTGAAATTTGATGACAGCCTTCCTGAGATGTCTGGCTATGGTGGGTACCTCAATCACATTTCAAAAATCATTTTAAGTTGAATTTGTTACATGCCAAAAAAAATTGTTCAATTTTTTGGGTCAAAATTGTTTAATTTTGAACGTTAAAAAAATATTAAAAATTGACCAATGCAAATTATTTTGCTACTCACCATAGCGGCATGTCGTAGGAGCTTCCATGCTAAATCTCCCCGCTGTAGCTCAAAAACTGCGCCCTAGAGGCCTGCAACCGTTTGCAATTTCATGTTCCGAGAAAAACGCGATCAAAGTTGTGGAAACTGGGCTTTTCCCCTATGCATGTTTGCGGCGCACAACCTACTAAAACTGCAATTTTTTGAATTCCGGAATTCAGTTTTCACCATTCGACGCAGAAAAGAATGGTCTATAATATAAACTAATGAAAAAAAGTTGCAATTTTTGATCACTTTGGAGTGACTTAAGAATATTTTTGTAAATTGACGAAAAAAAGATGGATTATCAGATCGTTTTTGAAATTTACGAGCAGTTCGTGGTACAGATTTAAGGGGGCAGTCTCGTCCCTGTACCCTTTTTTAGGGGGGTTTCCCCCCTCTTTTGATGACGATTATTTTTAAATATACCTCTTAGAGACAAACGGTAAAAACCAAATGAAAAAACGGAATTTTTACAACATTTTCAAAAAAAAAATTATTTCTTTTGTGTTCAGTTGTAAGGGAGTTATAGGGAATGCAACAAAAGCCGACAAAACATACAAAATTTCACTGCGCGACATTTTTCTCCGGAAGTTCTTAACTTTTTGGCAATCGGTTTAAGGCGTCTTGAAGATGAAAAAATCATGTTTACTTTAACCTACAATCGTCCATATAGCCCAAGGATTACACTTTTTAAAACGTAACCAAAAATCTATACAAACTTAGGAACGGTTTTAATTTGGGTTTTCCTTGGGCTACATGGACTCCGCATCGCAGGGAAGTTGACCATTCAGGCACAGGGGCCGTGCCCAACGCCTTGCTTCCCGTGCCTTTCGTGGAGCGTCCTTGGAGCGTAAGAGAGAAAGGGGCACCTAGTGACACTTTTCGGAGTGTTCACTCAACGTTTCAGTTTCTGACCAAATAGTTAATTTTTGGAATAGAGCACATCAATTGAACCTTCGACTTAAGGGGGCAATACACTGAAAATGGCCAAAAACTGACTTGTGCGATTGCTTCCATACGCGATGTTGAGCGTTGTTCAAACTTTTCATGTGTCAAGACCTTACAAAAAGAAGCATTTTAAGCTCAGAATGGCGTCGCTCGGACGTCAGAGAGCGGAGCAGTGCCAAGCCCAATAAAATTCTCGTCAAAAGTCGAACTGGCGGGCGTCCCTCGATTCGTTGCATCCAAAATTTGGGTGAGGATCATTTTATCACCCAACTTTAGAAGTTAAAGTAAACCTGCCCAAAATTAGGTATGGAAAACTTTTCATCATCAGCGAGACTCACCTCTTTTGCTTTTAAAGTCTTTGGTAACATCTTATCGTAAAAAATTGTACTTTGCTTAAAAGTTTTAACAGAAGGTAACAGGTGTAAGAACACGTTTTGTGGGTGAACAAAAAAAGGTCAAGGATGCATATAAGGGTGGGTCGAAAATCCCAGAATTAAACCGCGTATGGTTTTGTTTGCAGTTGACCACATTAGAAAAGAGATCTAACAATGCCGGTGTCTGGTGACGTCACCTTCCATCTCTTTGGAAGCTCCAAACTTGGGTCTAACAGTGAAAAATGGCACTTTTGGCCCTACAGGGACCAAACCATGGATCGCCCAGGATGCGGCTGTCTCGCGATGGGTGCGGAATATGTTCCTTAATATCCCTGCAAAATCTGGGCGATGTTGCTCAACATCTTGGTTAAGCCCGGACACTTGTTTTAACGCTAAAACAAAGTTGCAAACCACTAAAAATTGGATTTAAGGGTCTATTGTTTGCTCTAAGGTCCCATATACGTATATGAATGGGAGGGGCTCAAAAAATGAAATTTTTTGGTATATGTAACTTTTGTGATCGGACGAAAATTGTTGCCAGGGCGAAACTTAACACATTTCAGCAAAAGCTCGAAAACACCAAAAAGTAATCTAAAGGAGAATATGTATTGCCTGTGGGTCCAATATGATCGTACTGTTCGAAAGATCTGAAAAAAATGCAAAATTTTGGTATTTAAAGTTTTATGATTGGACAAAAACTCGATTTGTTGTTAATTATAGAAGAAAGTGTAAGCGTTCGTCGGGCCATCTCTTGCCCAACTAGGGCTTTGCTTCGCTTTGCTTGTGAATTATTTTGCAACAATTCGAGTTTTTGTCCAATCACAAAACTTTATATACCAAAATGTTGCATTTTTTTTTTTGGATCCTTCGAACAGTACGATCATATTGGAGCCACAGGCAATACTTATTCTCCTAAAGATCACTTTTTAGTGTTTTTGAGCTTTTGCTGAAATGTGTTGTTTCGCCCTGGCAACAATTTTCGTCCGATCACAAAGTTACATATACCAAAAAATTGCATTTTTTGAGCTCTTTCCATTTATATAAGTATTTGGGACCTTACAGCAAACAAAAGACCCTTAAATCCAATTTTTGGTGTTTTGCAACTTTGTTTTAGCGTTAAAACAAGTGTCCGGGCTTAACCAAGATGTTGAGCCACTTTACCCAGACTTTGCAGGGATATTAAGGATTATATTCCGCACCCATCGCGAGATAGCCGCATCCTGGGCGATCCATGGTTTGGTCCCTGTAGGGCCAAAAGTGCCATTTTTCACTGTTAGACCCAAGTTTGGAGCCTCCAAAGAGATGGAAGGTGACGTCACCAGACACCGGCATTGTGGGATCTCTTTACTAATGTGGTCAACTGCAAACAAAACCATACGCCGTTTAATTCTGGGATTTTCGACCCACCCTAATGCATATATTGAGTGGGGTTGATCATTTTTACTGAACACATACACATGGCGAATCCTCGATGGATGGCTCTCAATAAAATGGAATGGAAGAAAACGAACGACTCAGTATCACAAGAAACTCAGAAAGAAGGCTATGACCTTCTTGTTCACCCTTTCTTCAAGGCCATTGCCGATAATGAAGGAAAAGTGGTTGTATTGTGGAATTTCGTAAAAGGCCACGGTTGAATGGACGGCCTTTGAGACAGCGGAACAGTCCTGGAAATACAAGGTACGTCATGTTATAGAAGGTACGGAGTTGGGGTAATTTTAGGACACGGTGTAAAAATGGGAAAGCCGGTTTTTTGGTCTTGGACTCTTTACAGTCCAAATGTTAGTTTCACAATTTAAAACATCATATTTGCTAGAGCGTGTGTTGTGTGTCCAAAGTAACAAATCTTGAACAAGAAACACTGTTCCATTTCTACCCTGTGTCCTAAAATTACTCTTCCTGATCCAAGTTTACCTTAACTGTGGAAAGGAAAGAATGTGGAAAGAATCTCTTGCAATTACATTGTGAATTTGTTCAAAAGGAAACAATATAAACAAACGAATGCATGTCAGTCAGGCAGCACTTCTTTACGAACAAAAGAACCCACCATGAAACTGACTGTGACGTCCGCGAGTCCGCAGAAGATAAGGGTTGGTGATGTGATAGCCTTCAGGTTGTAAGATGGGGGGTCAGGGGATCCGTACAGCTCGACGTTCCTAGCCCTTCCGAAATCGTACTTCCGAAACTCGCCATCTGCAAAGATGCGAAATTCGAGAAAGGAATGGTGACGTCACACATTCACTGATAACCCTCAGTATTCCAGGCAACCTAAAAAAACATTCTAAAATGCTGCAACAGGTTTCTGAGTATACCGAGCACGTGGAAATTCTTCATGGCATATGCAATTAAAATAATGGAATGATAGAATAAAAATGGTATTGATTTTGAATTGGGTTCATACTTCTAGCCTAACAGGGCATTTGAGCAATAGAGAACAGGCAAATTCAAACACCGCCATGGGAGAAGAAAAGATTACCTCTTTCGATGCTTTGGGCAAAATGCGCACATTGACGTATTGAAGCTCCAGATGGAAATCTGATGGTGAGTGCACGTAGCAGTTTCTGTAATAAGACATCGTTTAGTAATGCAGTCTCATTTCAGAAAAGATTTTCTATTTTCCAGAAAAATAAAATGGTGAGAATATTTCTGATGTATTTCGGGAAAAAAAAGAAAGATTGGAAATACAGGGTGAGTTTTTTCAATGTGTCAATAATTTGGAGGTAGCTTGGGCACCCCGAGAGGTTCTTTTTTCCCTAATGAACTAGTGGGCGCAAACGACTAGGTACGGAGAAAATTGATATTTAGAAATGGGCATTTGCACCTGCCAGATAGCCACCTGCGGTCACTGAGGGTCACGTAACCTCACGAGAGGATGTCGTGGGTCTTGCGGGGATGCAACGAAGGTCGCAGGGGTGGGGCGGACCTTTCAATAGTCATTTCAGAGGGGTTGCCGAGGGTCTTAATTGGCTGACGCAGTGGCCTGCGTAACAGTGGATCTCGCGGCTGTCTTCACGAAGGTGGCAGGACTCCACGGTTTCTCCGTAAAGTCAGTGGCACTCCCTCGAGTACTGCGAATCCCATGACACCCACTCGTGAGGATCCGCCACCCTCAGTGGCGGCGGGAGTAGGGTGGTCCAAAAAAAATTGAAGTTGCTCGGATCGTCCAACGCCGCCCGGATTTGGAATCTACATCGAAAAATATGTAATAGGTGTTTTTTCCGTTTTCGAAAAAAATGAATTTCAGGACCTCCGCAGAGCCCTCAAAGTTTTTAACAGTGCTATTATTAGGAAAAAATCATAACTTGGTCATTTTTTGACCGATTTTCAAAAACGAAACGGAGATTTGTTCGTTTTTGAATGCTTATTACGAAAAAAAATATGGCCAACCCTCTTTTTTAGTTTGTCTAACTTTCAGGGGCAAAAAATGACTAAATTTCGGCCCAAATTGGCAATAGTTTCGGTTTGTAGGCCGCTTCAGCCACTCTAAGTCCACCCTGTCAGCATGGCGGGGTGCCTCCACCACAAGGCAAGCCCCATGAACAGAATTGGTATGCCGGGTGCACTTTGCCTTCCTTCCAGGGGCATCAAATTGTGGATTTTTTCGAAAATCTATCAATAGTGATGTCTCTTGGGGCCTCTGGACACTCAGATGGGCACCCTTTCACACGGTTCGGTACCCGCACTACGTAAAAAGTACAAAAAATAGGAACGGACTGTTGAGGACCTCATGCCTACCTCTCAGGACCAAAAAAACGTAAACATTCAGAAAATTCCTTCATTTTGATGGCTTTTCTTGTGGCCTTGCGTGGTTTGCGGTCCCTCGCGTCAGCAACGTCCATTACGCTCATATCACGTATTGTGGGTATCAACCCGTGTGAAAGTGTGCCCATCTGAGTGCCCAGAGGCCCCAAGAGACATCCCTATTAATAGATTTTCGAAAAAATCCACAATTTGATGCCCCTGGGAGGTAGGCAAATTGCACTCGGCGTCCCAATTCTGTTCATGGGGCTTGCCTTGTGGTGGAAGCACCCCGCCATGCTGACAGGGTGGACTTGGAGTGGCTGTAGCGGCCTACAAACTTAAACTATTGCCAATTTGGGCCAAAATTTAGTCATTTTTTGCCCCTGAAAGTTAGACAAACCAAAAAGAGGGTTGGGCATATTTTTTTTCGTAAAAAGCATTCAAAAACGAACAAATCCCTGTTTCGTTTTTGAAAATCGGTCAAAAAATGACCAAGTTACGATTTTTTCCTATTTATAGCACTGTCAAAAACTTTAAGGGCTCTGCGGAGGTCCTAAAAATCATTTTTTCGAAAAAGGAAAAAACACGTATTTCATATTTTTCGATGTAGAATCTAAATCCGGGCGGCGTTGGACGATCCGAGCAACTTTACTTTTTTTTGGACCACCCTAGGCGGGAGCCTACCTCGTGGGCAAGAAGTTAAATTACAAAACACGTATTATCTCAGCAACTAGACGTTTGCGCTCACTAGTTTACTGGCGAAAAATGATTCGCTAGGGGTGCCTAAGCTTCCTACAAATTATTGACACATCGAAAAAACTCACCCTGTATTGACCAAACCGATTATTCAGGTGTTTTAGGGCAAAATTTGTAGTTGACGCCTTTTTTCAGGTTATCCAGGGATGAAAGAACTTGATTCAAAGGCGCCCAAATTTGGTTGAGGAAACTTTCCTCTCCCGTAATTACGTATTAAGCCTCTCAGAGGCTTAACACCGAAGACTTACACCAAAGACTTACACCATAGAAACCATATTTTCAACGTTTCCAATCTTTCAAGGGCCTAGGGAACAGTTCCGAAGTACTTCGGAACTATTTTCAATCTTTCCGGAAATATTTCCGGACCCCGAATCTCTATTTTAGAAGCTTGACATCACAGGACTTGACAAAATGTCACGCTGTAAATCAGCCGTAAATTACCTCCATTCCCATTCCAACGGGCGTGACACAATGCTCTAGGCAGCGTGATATTTTGTCACGATCCTTTCAGCGCAATGTCCCGCTCCCGGAATGACAGTGATAGACCTAACAGGGTTTGACAAAAGTCAGGAATCAGTGGTACGTACGTCACTGCCTAAATAACTGTTCTTTCCCGCAAAGAAGTCCGAGAGCATCCTGCAGACTGGCGCGAAGATGGCGTTGCGTTTTGTCGCAGGACAAATAGTGGTCAGGGATACATCCGAAAATGGCATCTTGTCGTTTATGGCGTGTTCTCCGGTGACATCCTGGAAAACAGCTTCGTTGAAGAGACAGAACCTGCTGAAACCTTATGCACACTCTCATACCACGAATGTGACATCACGTTGAAACGAACGTGACAAAATGTAACGTACTTTTCCAGCGTTGCGACACATTCGTTTGAATGTGAACAAGCTGACTTTTGGCCGATTCACACCCAAACGAATGTGACATTTTGTCACGTTCGTTTCAACGTGATGTCACGTTTCTGGAATGAGAGTGCATTCACTGAGCAGACAATCGTGGTCCATGCCGCGAGGTTGTGTGGCCAATAGTCTAAAAGATTTGACCTCGTTTCGTAGCGTAGTCATCGCACTACGAAGCGCAAACGTGTCCAACGTTGCCGATACCCTTTCGTTTAACATGGCACGAACGAGGCAGATTTCGCCTGGGTGGAGACGAGACTGGCATCCACCGCTTTACTATACACCTAGTCGGTCAAGTCCGTGTCCACACCACGCTTGCGGCATTGGCCGCATTTGTGTTTTCAGTGTTGTAAATTCACTAAATTAGGTTTAGAGTGTAAGATACACTCTCAGACGATTACTGACACGGTAAAAACGGAACCTGGTTTTCCCAGGAAGCCTATGGTAGAGACATAGGTGATTTCCAGGCAGTTCCTGGGAAAACCAGGTTCCGTTTTTACCGTGGACTATTTCTCATTAGCAGACGTATTTCTGTAAGTGACCATAATACTTAGTATTTCGTTCTTTAATACTTGAAAAATTATTTTTAATTTACTTAGAAAACAGTTATATATAAGTTCAGTAATTAGAAATTGCCAAGTAATACTGAGAACAAAAACTAGGTATTTTGGTTGCTTACTGAAATGCGTGTGCTAATGAGAAAAAGGGAGTAAACGGCTGAGAGCGGACGGACGCACCTTGAGTCGATTGGTAAATGCGGGGAACGTTTCCATCACGACTTTGGCCATACGATGCAAGCCAGCCGGGTTCTTGAAGAAACCCGCCGGACCGAAGAAAACGTTGGCTATAATCTTTGCATTATACTCCGGACGTTCGGACAGCAGCACCATGGTGGCACTGCAGCTCATGGAGAACGACAGAGCAAAGAGGCGTGCGCGCCCCGTGGCGTTGAGCACGTAGTCTATCATGGCGGCCTGATCCAGGATGCCGTTCTCATGCCAGCTGGAACAAGTGAAGCAAACGATGGCATACCTGTCGAAGACACGGAGAATCCAAACGCTATGAGAATAGCATCAATTGGTGAAATGCAAAAGCATTGCACATGAAGTGCAATGCCACCCTATTCCCATGCATTAGCATGGGGCCTTTTCGGAATGCAATGCATTGCACGTAAGGTGCAATATGCACTGCAGGAAATAACCACAACAAGAGTACACAAATTTCTGGCAAATTTTTTATCAGGTTTTTATTGTACTTTCGAAGTACAACAATTGTTGTACAAAGTACAATGAAACCGGCATGACGAGTGATGGGCAGTGCAGGCGTCGTTGTGGTTTGTACAATTCTCGTTGTACTTTCTACAATCCCTGTTGTACTTTTATTGTACAGTTTTTGTTGTACATTTGTTGTACTATTCACACTTTTTCTTGCAGTGTGGCTATCGCATTGCACGTATGGTTGCGATATCTCAGCTGCATTGCACCTAGGGATGGTAAAATACCGGTATTTTATATTTTGGTATTTTACATCGGTTTTAAACCGAATAAAATACTGAAACATACTGGTATAAAACCGTAAAATACCAAGAAATTCAGAGTTCTCGGTTTAATACCGGGTTAAAACCGTATTATACCGTAAAATACCGACCAATAAAATACCGGAGCCATCCCTAATTGCACCATACGTGCTATACTCATAGCGTTTGGAATCTCAGTGGAGTTACCAGTGGATCGGCAGCGCGCATGTGATCCGTCACTGTTATAAACTCCGTCCTTCGATATGGTGAATATATTGCAGAACAGAGGACGGAAACACGAGAAAATGTTCGGAATGTCCGTTTACGCTGTGAGAAACGAAGTGTACATTTCCAAAGGTACTGTTCAAAAGGCACATTGCCGAACGCTTTTTGAAAATTTATCACGAATCTTCATCAAATTACGAATAATCATCGTTAGGTTGCAGAGGATCTGTGTAAATTCTCAAGGATGCTTCAGAAACCAAAGAATGTTCGGAAATTTACGAAGAAGGTTTCTTTAGCAACATTTTTCGCCATTGAAATTTGGAGATTTATTTGAACAGTGCACACGCCAATTTCTGGAAGTTTTAGGACACAGGAACGATAGACCTGTTCCATTGATTCACTTTCGAACACTTCGTCTGCATGCAAAACCCAGTGTTCTGTATGACAACTGACCTGAAGTCCCAGAACTCGTGTGACTTCGGACTGAGAGTTTTGTGCTTTACACCGTAATGAGATCCTCTAAAGTTAGCCAGCCATACATCGAATCCATGGTCAACAAGCTGCAATGCTGTAACACAACAAACACGAAAAAAGAGTCAGTTTAAAGGATACCGAAAAGAGAAGTTTCGATGTCCTGGAAATATTTCTGACAAATTTCGCTTAGTGTTTAAAATCCTACCACTAGATCGATTTATTCCAAACCAGGGCGTGCTAACTTAACATTTATTTGCGATTTTTGACATTTTATTTCGTAAACGGCTCGAATTAAAAACAAGCTAGGGCCCGGCCTTCCGTCGAACCGAGTTGCCAGCTCCGCTTCGCTGCGCCGGCAACTCGGTTCGACAGGGGGCCGGCCCAGCTTGGCCTGCCGGCGGCCTTTCCTCGGGCCTTCGGCCCTCGCATCAGACCCAAATTGGCCAGTCGAAGGCCCGGGCCTTCGGCCCGCTCGCATCACACACCCCGTGAGCGGGTAAAGCAAAGTTATCGATGTACCATCGTGACTTAGGCCCGCCCTTCTATTCACAATATGCAAAAGTCCTTACACTTTTTACTCCAACTGTCCTTAGAATATGCCCATTTCATTTGTCTCTTAGCCCTCATTCCGAAAATACCCATATTTGCCATGCTACTGCAACTCCTTGCAATAAGAGGCACAGCACGAGCGCAAAACGAGTCCGTCGCACTTTTTCCCATAACTCATGAAGGCGGGCTCCTGGACCCCCCTTCCGAACCCTCGAAGAGGTCTTGCCAAGACCTATCGAAAACTTAAGTAAAAATTTTCAGTCGGTCGACCCCCTTTTTTCAAGATCCTGATGTGACTAATGGACGAAGTCGGGCTCCCGGACCCCCTTCCCGACCCCTCGTTGAAAAGGTCTTGCTGAGACCAATCGAAATCTGCAATAAATTTTTTTAGTCGGTCGACCCTTTTTTTTGAAGATCCTGATCTGGCCAACTTGTACAAGGTAGGTTTACGCCAGACCGCGTCTTGTCGTAACAGGCTTCGCGATGTCTCGCTGCATGTTTCTCCAATCCGCGCCCGGCGTACCTACCTTGGCCTGCGGCGCTAGCCTGCCTTCGGCAGGCAATGGCTTCTCCATCGTCGATTTTTGGCTGAGCGATAGCGAAGCCTGTTACTCAGGTGGGGTTGAAAAATTTTTCCTGTCTGCGTGCGTGCGTGCGTGTGTGTGTGTGTCCGCGCTACTCCTCCTGAACGGCTCGGCCGATCTCGGTGAGATTTTGCACACTTTTTGGGTATGTCCTTGGCTCGTCACACGCGAAATTTCACTATCCTAGCTCAACTGGTTCGGTTTTTTATAGCCGAAAAACACATAAAAAACGGCGAAAAATCGAGTTTTCTGCAGGCAGATCATTTCTGTCTTGAAGAAAGGGGGGTCTGGGGGGCGGAGCCCCCCAGCCTCGACAAGTTAAAAAGTCAGGCCAATGCAGCCCTAGGCACGAAATCAAATGCTGTTTTGACCTCCAATCACGCAAATCGGTATGCGGATGCCTGGAAAAGAAACCTAGCCTGCCGAAGGCAGGCAAGCGCCGCAGGCCAAGGTAGGTGTAACGCCAGGCGTGGATTGTCGAAACTGGCGCAGCATCGCGAAGCCTGTTACGACAAGACACGGTCTGGCGTACACCTACCTTGTCCTAACTTGTTGCTTGCTGGGGGGCTCTGCCCCCCAGAGCCCCTTCATTCTAGGTAGAGTTGCTTCATCTGCAGATAACTCGATCTTGACCCTTGTAACTTTTTCACTTGTCCGGGCTGGGGAGCTCCGCCCCCCAGACCCCCCTTTCTTCAAGACAGAAGCAATCTGCCTACAGAAAACTCGATTTTTCGCCGTTTTTTCAGTGTTTTTCGGCTATAAAAACCGAACCAGTTGGGCTAGGATGGTGAAATTTTGCGTGTGCCGAGCCAAGGACATACCCAAAAAGTGTGCCAAATCTCACCGAGATCGGCCGAGCCGTTCAGGAGGAGTAGTGCGGACAGACACACACACACACAGACAGACAGACAGACAGGAAAAAATTTTCAACCCCACTGGAGTAACAGGCTTCGCTATCGCTCAGCCAAAAAGCGGCCGATGGGGTCGGGACCAGGTCCATTCATCTTGTCTCGTCGCCCCGATTCCAAAAATACCCATATGTGCCCTGCTAGCACCAATAATGGCGGAAATCCCCCTCTCGCTCATGAAAACCATGATGCACCTGCAGCAGCCCTTGTGCGACCCGGACGGGATTTGCACCACCGGATTATTTGTTTGAACGGTACTCCTGAAGTTGCCTCCAAATCTTGTCACTCTAGCTCAACTCCTTCCTTGTACACAGACGCCAACAACAACAACGACAACAACACACAGACACAAAGGCAAATGCATAGCCCCCCCCCCCTATTTTTTGAATAGAAGGGCGGGCCAAAAAATATGCAAAGAATCACTTAAATTCAAAATCAAATTTTAAATTTAAGTTACCCTGTGCATTACTTTTTCACCTCTCGTCGTTGACGAGATAAAGGCACTCAAAATCTCAATAAATGTTGAGTTTGCACGCCCTGTTTCAAACACGGCAAAAACGGGATCTGGGTTTTCCAGGCAAACCCTGGGAATACAGATTATTTTTACAGGGTGGGCCTAGGCATTCCGGGCACTTTTTGCCGTGAAAGTCGCACGCCCCCAAATCCATTAAATTACGAATAACGGCTGTTTACGTAAAGTACTTTTTACCAAAATTCTCCTCACGACAAAGGAAATTTACCCGGTCTTTAGAATGTTTGATGGGAGCGGTAGCCAGACCCCTCCAGAACTAGCAACAATTTGACTGTTAACTCTGTTATCCAACAAATGTGACGTCACACTCGTCAGAATGTGAATTTCATCGCGTTCGTTTGAAAACGATGACACAATCGGGTGAATGTTGACCAACGTTCAAACGAATGCGACACCACCCTATTAAGACGGCAGCGTCACGTTACAGTGAATATGCTAGAATACACTAAAAGTGGCTCACGAAGAAATTTCAGCTCTGTTCCAGTGAACTTCACGCAAAAAGAATTCAAAGCAACGTTTATAAGAAATACAAATCTTTAGTGTTTTCATTCTCAGAAACAAGGAAAATATTTGGTAAGGGAGTGTGGGGCGATTTGTAACAGATTTTGGAATTCTCTATACAAAATAAAGAACATTCTGCATATCGGTGTCAAACTTGTGCCAGTTGAGCAGTCTGGCTTTTCATCTAGACTGTGCAGCTCCATTGGATCAATCTGGAGTCCGTAATCTTTGAAATCTAAGACGTTTTCCAAACCCTTGCATGCTGTTACGAATCGCCCCAGCATGGGGTGATTTGTAACAGCCATGGGGCTTTTCATAACATCCTACACATTAAATGAAACATCGTCGGGAATGGTATCTCCTCCACCAGTTGTTCTTCGGGCGTCCTGCAGACGTCTAAAAATCTACATTACAAGCTGCCGTTGACCGCCTGAGCATTAACTGATAGGCTATGTCAATCCTCACCTCACTTTTTTCAATTTTAGAGGAAAGCATTGAATAACTCGCTTTAAAATGCATTTCGAGCTGTGTAAATGTATTGGAATAAAAAAGCAGATGATTCGAGAAATAATTCAAGCATTTAACAGCAAAAACTACTTAATTTCTTGTTTTTATACGGGTCTGTTACGTATCACCCCAAATGCCTGTTACGCAAGAAATCCGTCCCTAACTATCACTGGACAAAGTAAAAGCAACTTATGCCACGTGTTTACATTGTAAAGGGGTCACGCTTCAAGGCCCCAACGGTACTTTGATGCTGATTCATACGTGGGGAGCCTCAGACAGAAACTTCCTAGAACTCGAAATAAAAGATTTGCCAGTGTTCGGTGTACCCTATATTTCATACGCCCTCCAAAACTATACCTGAGCACCGATCACATCCGCTTCGATTGTTCAAGGACCCTGTACTTGAAGCGAAAGAGGGGCCATACTCAGATTTTCCTCTGCTCCCTCCACTTAAATTAATAAACGCATTTGTTACGAATCGCCCCTGTTACAAATCGCCCCATACTCCCTTAATACGAAGTAGAACTTCCTTCAAATTACGCTTGCGCCATTTCCTTGGCATTACTAAGTATTTCTTCGTCAGACATTTAAAGTAGGGACGGCCGATACCGATTCGATACTTGGAGGTATCGATACTTTTGCCTAAAGTATCGATACTTTTTACTCGATACTTTTGGGTTCGATACTTTTAGGTTTCAATACTTTTGGGTCGATTTCCCTCGATACCTCGATACTCTGGCCCCGCCTTCCGACACTGCGCATGCGCGGTCTGAAGACTGGCAACTTTTCGTCGCGCAACCAAAATTTCCAGTTTTTCTTATGTGGGTCATTCTACAGAAATGTTACAATTTCGCAGTTAGAACCGTGAAAAATTAAAAGTTGTCCGATTTCATTCATATTGGGCTTGTTTTTCTTGTTTCGGCATGCAGAATGCGAAACAATATCAAGCGTCACACTTTTCGAGAAAAAAAAAATGTCCCCCTGAAATCATAGGGGAAATATCTACGGAGTAAATTGACGTCCACGGAGTTTACATTTTGAAGCAAATACCTGGATTGTAGCCGAATGAGTTGGAACAGAAGACCGCGCATACACAGCTGACTAAAGGACCACCAAAGCATTGTTTTTATCCTCATTTCGTAGGTTTAACGCACAGGGGATCCGCGGCAAATCGGGTACGGAGTTTACATACAAAAAAAATACGCGACCCCCTTTTTGAAATTTTGATACCAATCAGATGCTAGCCATTGGACTCACATCCCTCAAACTTGGTGACTAGATGTGTTTTTCATCCGGAATCCATTGCAGCCTTCAGATTGAGGCTGCTACTTCCCGTTTGTCTCCTGTAGTACCAAACTCGTTACAGTGCACATGTGGATTTTAGGGAAGTAAAAACTTCGGGACAAAAGTTAATTCTGTGCAGGCACAAAGCTTCAAACTTTGAAGGAAAGTCAGCGGGGTTAAGTTAAAGTATGAAAGTGCCTTAGCAAATAGAGCCGTCAGGAATGATTGTCCTGCGTCTCGTTTAGACATACGAGAGGCGCAAACTTAGTGAACTGCGCATCGGGACAGCCACGGAGTTTACATTTTGCACCTTCCGGAGGCCACAGCCATCTGAAAACCTCAGAAACTTTCAAACCCAATAGTGGATCATTTTGAAGCACAAAAAGCACCATCTCATCGCGCAAACCGCGTCTTTCTAGGACGAACCGTTTCGTCACAAAGGGGCAGGGACATCAAATTGTAACATTTCTGTAGAATGACCCATGTTTTGATATGTTAGATTATAAATTCACTTAAAAACTGGCAATTTTTACTGAGGAAATACTTACTGAGGTTCATTAAAGTATCGACTCGATACTCGGGCGCATCGATACTTTTGAGGTCGAGGATCGATACGCCGATACCTTCGGCTGCTGGAAGTATCGATACCCAAGTATCGATACGTTTAGAGGTATCGGCCGTCCCTAATTTAAAGTCTCTGTTGAAACAAGCTTAGTTTGTAGTGTTGTTAACACTCCCAATTTCCTAGTGAGAAATGCCGTGCAGTCATAATACTGAGCTAATTCTCGGCACTTTACGACACAAATCTGTCATATTCCCAAAAATGTGTTCGCTGTATGAAGAAATTGGTCATGAGTTGCTGAAAACCTTTATCCGTAGGTTACTAACTTCGCTGCGCTGTCATGTTACTAAGCTTTTTGTTTGTATTGCGAAGAAAAGCTCATGTCAGCAGGATATTGGGAGTGAACGATACCTACGTAGGTTTTCGTCCTCTCGGAACATCCACACCTCACTGCTCGTCAAGAGGGCGTGGCCCACCAGGACCGGGGTGTTGTGGCTGCTGGAGTTGTGCGCCTGTGGCTTCGACAGGCGGTGCATGGTCAAAATGTAGCCGTCGGTCGTCACCACGTCGTGCGAGTCGGCGCGGTAGCCGTAAAATGCCGCCAGCTGATGGAAGGACACACACAGGATGCCGATAAACTGAGAGGAATAAAGTTAAGAACTCTCAAAAGTATAAATTTATGATTTCGTTTTATATAAGGTGAGTTTCCTCAATGTGTCAATTATTTGCAGGTAGTTACGGCATACCGAGGGGATCATTTTTCATCGATGAACTTATAGGCGTAAACGTCCAGGTGAGGAGATAGTGTTTTGTTATTGGCCTTCGCGCCTGCGAGGTAAGCAGGACTTGCAGTTCTCACGGGAATGCCACTGACCTTGAACAAGAACACTCTTAGCACGTTACTGACCTTTTGCTCATTTTGTCAGTACTTATGGTGAACTATAAATCTATGTTTTGAAATGTTAAATAATAATGTACTGACAATTTGGATTTGTGCATGATTTTACAAAGGAAATTTGTCATAATTACTTATAAAATATTAAGTATTATAGTTCCTTATACGAATACGTAATTAATGAAGAAAAGTTCAGTAACGTGCTGAGAGTGTTTCCGCGGAGTCCTGCCACCCTCGATAAGACAGCCGTGAGATCCACTGTCACGGGGACCACCACCACAGCCCCTTGAGACCCGCAGCACCCCCACTAGGCCCGCGACACCCCTCGTGAGGTCCTGCGACCCACAGTGGCAGCGGGTGCCCAGCTCGCAGGCGCGAAGGCCAATTCAAAAACACCAATTATCTCCGTACCTAGACGTTTGCGCTCACCAGACTGGTGGAAAATAATCCCCTTGAGGTGCCCAAGCTAGCTACAAAATATTGACGCATTACAATGAGGATGAGAGAGTCATGATCATGACTAAAACTTTTGGCGAGAAATTCTTCAAAACCCAAATTTGGGTGAGAAAAGTTTCATCATTCAAATTTGAGTCATAATTCTGGATTCATGTAGGTAACTGATACACCCTTCCTCACCCAAATTTGGGTAATGAAGTATATCTCGCCTAAAATTGGGTGCTATGATCATGAGTTTTTCATTCTCAGTGTAAGAAAACTCACCCTGTATTACACGGTGAAAACGAGAGCTGGTGTTCCCAGGAACTCCCTGGAAATCGCATGTCTCTACCATACGCTTTCTCGGAAAACCAGGTATCGTTTTTACCGTGTACTTAAGTAGTCGGCGAAACTTTTGTATTACCAGTCTTTCTTCTGCATGACAATTGTGCAGTAGGGTGGATCTTAATAGAGCATTCTAGTCGTCGCCGATCAAAGAACAAAAAGAAGAACAAAACCGGAAGCCGGGAAGAAACGGAGTAGGTATCAAGCCCGGTTCCAGCCAGAAATGTCGACAAATATTTTAATTTCCTGTGTCAAAAAGTGTTAGGATCAAATGAAAGTGCTTTTAAAGGCGATACGCCACAGAAAACTCAGTAATTAGTCCACTTAGGGATGGCTCCGGTATTTTATTGGTCGGTATTTTACGGTATAATACGGTTTTAACCCGGTATTAAACCGAGAACTCTGAATTTCTTGGTATTTTACGGTTTTATACCACTATGTTTCAGTATTTTATTCGGTTTAAAACCGATGTAAAATACCAAAATATAAAATATCGGTATTTTACCATTCCTAAGTCCACTCATAGAAGTCTGGGAGGTTATGTCGCCGGCGCACAATGATGCAAAGCCGAAAAAAGTCGCGCAAAATTATAGAGTGCCCTGATCACTGCCAATTTTCAGGCTGTGGGGTTTTGAGGGTCGCTGACCTCATTCCTGAAGAAATTCAACGTATGCGACCACTACAGGGGCGGATATAGGAATGTTGAAGGGGGTTACACTGTAACGCTGCGCTTGATCACTGCCAAATTTTGTGCAAAGATGTTTAAAGGGTCGCCGACATTATTTTTGAAAGGATGGACATGTGCGACTACCACAGCAGGGGCGGAGCTTTGGTAGTTTAGGGGGTAACACTGTTACGCTGTGCTTTGTCACTGCCAAATTTTGTGAAACGAAGTGTTTAGGGTCGCTGACTTCTTTTCTGAAGAGATTGAACGTGTACAACCACCACAGGGTAGGAACCAAAGCTGGAACTTAAGGAGAAACGATTATGGTTAAGTTCGGGAAATGGAAGTTGACCAGTCATTTGTGACAAAGCCGCGACTTTGGAGTCGATTCTTTCGAAAAGCGCAACTTTTCGCAACCTGACACCATACAGACCTTAAAGTTGGCCCCAGGTACTACCATGTGGCTGTGGCTGACCGGTTCGCAAGTGTTCGCAACTCGACTTATTCCACTTCAAAATCAACAAAAATGGCAAATTCGGCTATTATTTTACGGCGAATATTTGGTGACTGAGAGCTTTGCCGTTAATTATAGCAAATGTAGCGGATTTCTTGAACCCTCAGCTTTCCAAAAACATACAACATGTTACACTTTGTTCTGCAAATGCCGCCACAACGAACAGTTTTCGCACCGCATGTCGCTCTATTTGGTTTTTGCATCAAATTGCTCTATTTCAGCGCCATAAAAAGATAGGCCTACCCATTTTGTGGCAGAAAAGAGTTCCGCCACCATGTAGTTCGATCATTTCTGCGCTCAAAAACGTCAGTCCCTTTAGGGATGGACTAAATCAACGAAAAGTGCTTTTTGCGCGACTTTTTACCGTTTTGCATCACTGTGCGGCGCTAGTTCCGGCTTCGTTCTTCTTCTTGTTCTTCGATCGGCGACGACTAGAATACTCTATTTCTGACCCCCCGTTATTATAAGCGAAATGGGGACCCTAGGATGGTAGAAGACCATTAACAAATCGCATTTGATCCGGAAAAAAATTGTATCAGCTTTAGGGGAGGGGCTCAAAGTTGGGTCAAAACGTCCAAATTGGTGGTTTGTCAAGTATTGCCGCCGGATCAGATGAGATATCAAAACGCCTGACGTCTCAAAAGATGCGGAATTTAATTACCTTTCTAAAAAGCTGTGAATCATTGTTGCAGCACAAATATTTCCACTTGAATCATTGCAATTTATGCAGAAAAGTGGGGTCAAAAATATCAAAATCCGTCCAATTTCGGCAGGTTTGAATTCTAAAATTGGCCGAATCGATATCCCTTTACAGAAATGGATGGATCTCAACAACACTGTTAAAAAATTCGGATTGAAATTTCATAACATGTTAATGTAATTATTATCACTTTTCTGTTATGAAATTTCATGGCGATTTTCTGCAATGAAATAAATTTCATTGCAGAAAATCACCATGAAATTTCATAGCAAAGTGTTGTGAAACTTCATTAAATTGTTAATGAAAATTCATATGCGAGTTTTGACATTTTATTTCCAATTGTGGTTTTGTATTTCATAAATGGGTGATGTAATCTCGACCGGTATCTTGACTCTTAGTTCAATACCAGTTCTAAAAATTGCAAGCGGGCTAAGCCCACCTTAGACAAAGAGCTTAACCCGGAGTGTAACTCAGTGAGAAGAGTTGGTGGCAAGTTGTACCACAATCACGAGGAGGCTCTCGCTGGACCTAACCCAATGGCCGACTGTAGGCGCCAGCGAGTCGCAACATGGTTCTGCGTTTTTCTCGACTTCAGAGTAATATTTTGTTTAACACTTTTAGCATACGTCTAGAGTAGATATTCACTTAGGTAACCAAGGATAAACTTTTGAAAAAATATTGATTTTACTTAAATGAATAGGCAAAACTTACAAGTGAACGAACACGGCACTCCGAGCGCCACCTAGCGGCAGCTTCTTGAAACCTGACTTTGAGCCCAGGTTAGGGTGGGTCGAAAATCCCAGAATTAAACGGCGTATGGTTTTGTTTGCAGTTGACCATATTAGAAAAGAGATCCCACAATGCTGGGGTCTGGTGACGTCATCTTCCATCTCTTTGGAGGCTCCAAACTTGGGTCTAATAATGAAAAATTGCACTTTTGGCCCTACAGGGACCAAACCATGCATCGCCCAGGATGCGGCTATCTCGCGATGGGTGCGGAATATGTTCCTTTATATTCCTGCAAAGTCTGGGCGATGTGGCTCAACATCTTGGTTAAGCCCGGGCACTTGTTTTAACGCTAAAAAAAAGTTGCAAAACACTAAAAATTGGATTTAAGGGTCTATTGTTTGCTCCAAGGTCCCATATACATACATGCATGGAAAAAGCTCAAAAAATGAAATTTTTCAGTATATTTAACTTTGTGATCGGACGTAAATTGTTGCCAGGGCGAAACTTTACACATTTCTGCAAAAGCTCAAAAACACTAAAAAGTGATCTTTAAGAGAATATGTATTGCCTGTGAATCCAATATGATCATACAGTTCGAAAGATCTAAAAAAATGCAAAATTTTGGTATATAAAGTTTTGTGATTAGACAAAAACTCGAATAGTTGCAAGATAATTAACAAGCAAAGCGAAGCAAAGCCCTTGTTAGGCAAGAGATGGCACGACGAACGTTTACACTTTCTTCTATAATTAACAACAAATCGAGTTTTTGTCCAATCACAAAACTTTATATACCAAAATTTTGCATTTTTTTAGATCTTTCGAACTGTATGATCATATTGGATTTACAGGCAATACATATTCTCTTAAAAATCACTTTTTAGTGTTTTTGAGCTTTTGCAGAAATGTGTAAAGTTTCGCCCTGGCAACAATTTACGTCCGAACACAAAGTTATATATACCAAAAAATTGCATTTTTTGAGCCCTTTCCATGCATGTATGTATATGGGACCTTGGAGCAAACAATAGACCCTTAAATCCAATTTTTAGTGTTTTGCAACTTTGTTTTAGCGTTAAAACAAGTGCCCGGGCTTAACCAAGATGTTGAGCCACATCGCCCAGACTTTGCAGGAATATAAAGGAACATATTCCGCGCCCATCGCGAGATAGCCGCATCCTGGGCGATCCATGGTTTCGTCCCTGTAGGGCCAAAAGTGCCATTTTTCACTATTAGACCCAAGTTTGAAGCCTCCAAAGAGATGGAAGGTGACGTCACCAGACCCCAGCATTGTGGGATCTCTTTTCAAATATGGTCAACTGCAAACAA